CCCCACACCCCCCACATTTATCTTCTATTTGAAGCTTTTGGGGTTACATTTTCTATTACGCCTGTTTTATATGTGTCTCTCACAATTTGTTAGTCAAAACCAAGTTCCTAAACAAAAACTTAGCACGCTACCACCTTACACACACATACATTTACGTGACAAAATAATCATAAATAAAGATGCATAATATATGAACAATATATCACTACAAAAGCTTCATACAAAATACGTTCATCCATTATTTCTTTAATAAAATATTAGCTCGACCAAAGAGTTTGGGCAAAGCAAGAAAGAGAGCGAGAGCTACTGTAGATGATTTTCGCTTCTCCAAAACAACAAAATATCCCATTAAACGTAAGTAACATAATGACTGGAATGTCGTGCTAGATTTAGGCATTGCAAGATAGTAAACAGAGGCAAGATTTTCATTAAAGAGATTCAAAAAATAAAAAAAAAGTAAACATACAAAGAAACTAAGGAGATTCATAATCTACTATATATACATAAAATATTAACTTTATATACAATATAATTTCCGGCAAAGAGCATTTTAAACGAATCCCGCCCCTAGCTTTGCCTATGTTGCAAGGTTAACTATAAATTATGGAAAAATTACTGTCTAACCCTCTCAAAATAATAGTTGAAAAATATATATTTTTTGTATATATATACATTCTGTATGTTATATACAAAAATTATATACTTTTTCGACTAAGAAATTAAATAGTTTCTAGCGTGTGCTAAAAGTAATAATACCTCATAAATTATTAAACTCATGTAACGGCCCAAGTGATGCCTAGCTCTAATGATGTGTGCTAGTGGTACACAAGTGAAGTCCAAAGGCACCAGAAACCATGTTTCCGCTTTATTTTATTTTGGAAAAGTTACTAGTTCGACCCCCAAAAATAATAGTGGTGTATATATCTATATTATTATAAAAACATGAATACAATGTCGGTTTACAAAAATAACTTTTTAATATTAAGCATAATAACTCATAATAAAAGGACATAACCGAAATTCTAGATATTAGTCTTATAATCCTATTAGTTTTAGGACATAATACTATACGTTAGGAATCTTACATGATTACCTTTAGAAATCCTATTAGTATAATTACTTTCCGACTGTCTAATTCATATAAAATTGAACGAGTAAATATCTTTAGTCATATAATCCTTTTACTTTTAGGATATACTTCTTAAAAATTATTATTACTAATTTAATTTGAAAACGTATTATAATGTCCTATTACTAATTTAATTTGAGAATGTATTATATTGTCCAAATTCATTTAGAAAAAGGAGAGACTATATTATTATAAAAGCATAAATACAATATTAATATACCAAAATAGCCCTAAAAGTTTTAATGGAAGAACTCATAGGGAAAGGGCATAACTGCAATAACTTATTTTTTAGACTACAATACCTTCTATGCTAATTTTTAATATTTAATATTTTAAAATTAATAAAATAAGTCTATTACATTCTTATTAAAAATATGTAGGAAGGTTTAATGAAATAAATTTCATCAGAATCCTCCGTATTGGCAATACCTTACCACTTCATAATATCCAATACCAAAAAAATAAAAGTAATATTAAATGGACTGCATAAAAAGTTGACATCGAGAGGAAAAAAATACCCCCACAATAATATATTTTTATATTATATTTGAACTATTTTTCTACTCAAATAATATTATTTTATTAATTTTTCATGTAATATTAAAAAATACTCAATTATTAAACAACAATTAAGAAAATATTTAAGAATATAAATGTGTGAGAAAGAGAAAAAAATGATTAGTAAGAGTCAATACCACTAATGATTCTACAGACATAAAGATCTAAAAGTGAAATGTCATATCAATCTTTTACTCTTTGAAAATAAAATTTATGGTGAATAAAATTATAATTAAGATTAAATATTCAAAACAAGATGAACTAATATTAAGATTTGAATTAACATAGAATAAATTATTTTTATGTTAAAATCAAATAATTAAATCTTTTAATTAATTATTAACAAGAGAATCCAATTAAATTATTTTTTAAATTCATCACATGAGTAAAATTCTTATTCAAGTTAAAAAATATCTTAGGGTACATAAATTTATTCCATAAAAAGAGCGTTAGAACACAAAGTAAAAAGGTTAATATATTATTAAGAATCAAAATGCTATACAAGTGTCTGAGAAAGTACAATCAAAGCTAAATCCCAAACAAGAACAAGCTTTCAAGACTATATTTTAAAGAGTCGACTCTGCTATAACAAGATTATTCTTTGTAGATGCCTCCGGCAGAATCAAAATAATATTTCTATGTCATGTATTACTTGCAAATATCATATCAAGATGCATGACACTGTTAGTAATAATAGAAAGTGGTGTATCAATAACGATTTTATTGTGAGGCCACCCACTTTAGATTTGATATACCTCTTCAAACAACTTAAATAAACATCACAAATATACCAAAGTAGAGCAATGATGCTAAATTTTTAAGGAAAGCAAAATTAATAAATATGGGATGAAACACTTATGGCTAAGTGTCAAACGGAGTTCTAGAGATATATTGAATATTGATGAACCGTTTGGTGAAAAATTAATGGTTTAGGAGGTAATTTATGTCAAGTACTATCATTAATTCCAAAATTGACAAAAACAGAGACTGTAAAAGCTAGCTTGCCAAAGTTATACTTTTGACCTCAAATGAAAAAGATTCAACTCACAAGAAATATAAAGTAAGAACAGATCCAGTATTCAGTATCTTCTTGCTTCGTGTCGGAAACGAATAAGAGCATCTAATAAAAGATGATTTGGTTCTTCCTGAACACTTGGTTATCAATCCTAATGGTAATAGTATGCATCTAATAAGAAAAATATTTCTATCATTAGATTAAAACGCAATTTGTGAAAATCACATGATAGAATTAAAAGAAAATTTTAGCTAGCAGAAATGAATATGCTGATCAACTAAATAAAAGGTTGATTGCAAAATCTAATAGCAAAACAAAATATTTTTCTGTTTTTGACTAAGTAGAAAATGATACCAATAATTACAACCAAGAAGAATACTTAAATACTTTAATACCAAACGGCCTTCTACCATACCCATTTGTTGTCAAGTTTATTATTTTTTACGTATGTTAGTGTCACCGTATATATAATAGACTAAATTGATCTTCCATTGTATATAGGTTGAATTTGAAGAAAAATATGCATGTCATGCTACTGAAAAACTTAAATACACCGAATAGATTATGTAATAGCACACATATGGTATATAGAAGTTTTGTAACGTCATACATGCAAAAATTATAATACTGGTCAATGTGCTTCTAAGTATATTCTTATCTCTGAATTCAACTTTCGTCTTTCGAAACTAAGGAATATCCTTTTAAATTTGTGTGAAAATAAATTTTTAATATGTTTATGTTTTGCATATATAATAAATACAGCACAAGAACAAACATCCTAAATATTGGACTATATTTACCGCAATATATTTTCTTGCACGAACAACTGTATGTTGCACTTTCAAGAGGGATATCAAGATCGACAACAAGAGTTCTGGTTAAGGCAGAGCAACCAAAGCATTAAGAGGAAACATAAACAAAAAAATATTATCCACAAAGAAGTGTTCGTTAAGATACCACCATATTAAATACTTTTAAACTATAATACATAATTATCTAACTAACGTGATAAAATTGATCATTTGTGTAAGTTTTGATGATATCCTTTTATTTTAAATTCATGTATTATGCTAATATAATAATATTTTTCGACATTTAGATGATTGTTGTATTATTATACATAAAATTTCTCTTATTAATTAAATTTTATTGTTCTTTCATATAAATAAATATTTAAATCATCACGTGCTATTATTAAAGTGCAACGCACGTTCATAGATACTAGTTATATATATTTGTGTAAATTAACCAATGTATAATATACAGATTTTATACATATTTTTTATATATTTAGCTAGTGGATATAATTATTTTCGATCGATTGGCTAAATGTGTAACTTGTTCTATTATTTTCTCAGTCTTGGCATTGTAGCAACAAAT